TACCCAAACGAGATTGGTTATGTGGAACGGTGCAAACGTGGAGCCGAAAGGAGAAACCACTATTACACTGAAGAATCCCAGAAGCGGAATCTCTACTGTCGTGAGTTTTTTCGTCGTGGAGCCGGGTTATGTTCCAATCCTGGGATACGAATCTATCGAGCAACTTGGTCTGGTATCGTTTAACTGCGATTTGTTCATCACATTTGTAAGGACACTGAATATTACCTGGAAAAACATGCCTCCGTTTTTGATGGAAAACTGGGAAAGTTGTCAGGAACTGTGACACTTCATATAAACGACGCTGCCGAGCCCGTTGTTTTACCAACGCGGAGGATCCCACTCGCTGTTCGAGATGAATTTTTGCCTGAATTGAATGATCTTATCGCAAAGGACGTTCTGGAGAAAGTCGATGAACCAACGGGCTGGGTAAGTCAGGTTGTGATGGTGACGAAGAAGTCTGGAGAATGGAGAATATGTATCGACCCGAAACCATTAAACAAGGCGTTAAGATAGGGGCAATTTATGTTGCTCATTTTTGACGACATACTACCGGAATTAGCTAATGCAAGATAATTCACGAAGGTAGATTTAGCCTCTGCGTTTCGGCATTTAGAGCTGGACGATATATCGTGCTTTTTGACCACTTTTGGCACGCCACTCGGGTGATATCGTTGAAAAAGACTGCCATTCGGTTTGAAAGTGTCAAGTGAAATTTTTCGGAAACGAATCCTCTAAGCGGTAGATGATCTACCCGGTGTTTTTTTCGTGGCGGACGACATTCTTATTTTCGGTAAAAATGTAGATGGACGGTTTGAACGCTTTTACAGCGTTGTATACGAGACGAAGTCAAGCTGAAACAGGACAAGCTAATCTTTTGTCAATCGGAAGTCAGCTTTCACGGTCACGTACTTACAAGCAAAGGGATCAAACCGGACCCAGAAAAGGTAAAAGCGATTGTAGAAATGCCTCCCCCAACTGATGCAAAAGGCGTATCACGATTCAATGGAATGATAAACTATCTCAGTAGATGTCTTCCAAAACTAGCGGAATTGATGTGACCGATTCGACGTTTGACGTATAAAGGAGAACAGTGGCTTTGGACACTAGAACAACAGGCGGCTTTTAATCGCGTCAAGCAACTTATGGTGAAAGCCCCAGTGCTGGCGTATTTCGATCCAAATGCACCTCTGTGCACACAATGTGACAGCAGTTAATTTGGATTACGTGCTGTGCTCCTCCAAAATGGGCGTCCATTAGATTATCGGAGTCAGACACTAACGGAATGTGAACAAAGGTACGCCCAGATTGAGAAAGAAATGCTAGCAATTGTATATGCGCTGGAGAAATTCAATGATTACACATTTGGTCGGCTCACGCATGTATACTCGGATCACAAACCACTGATCATGATTGTGGATAAACCCCTCCATATAGCACCAAGGAGATTACAATCCATGCTAATACGTCTACAGAAATACAATTATGAGCTGCATTACGAATAAGGTAAACGCATGTTTGTGGCGGACACATTGTCACGAGCCACATTGCCAGATACAGGACAGGAACAAAAGCTGGAATCCGTGAACGTTGCATTGGCAGTGACGCAGCTCGAGATGTCTCACATACGAACTGCAACTATTGACTATCCGAGCATGCAAGAACTTAAGGGTGTTATCACACGTGGTTGGCCAGAGAACAAAAAAGCCCTTCCTATGGACGTATTACCCTAATTTAAATTCCAAGATGAATTAACTGTTCACGGTGAACTGATTTTCCGTGGTGAAAAGTTGGTCGTACCAAAATTGATTCAATAAACGGCATGTGTTTGAAACATTGCTCTCACACCCGTACAAACGGATGCCTCAGTCGCTCCAAGGAGACATATTATTGGCCGGGTATGTCGGAACAGATAAAACAAGTGATTGGTAAATGTGAAATTTGCAAGAAGTTTGATCAGCGACAAACGAAGGAACCGATGAATATGCGTGCAATACCAGAGAGACCATCGTAGATAGTAGGGTCCGATATATTTTATCACGGGAAAGACACCTACTTGATAACTGTTCATTACTACAGCGACTTTTTCGAAGTTGATTTACTGCGATCCAGTACTGCGACGGAGATCATGACTAAACTGCGCATTCATTTTGCACGACACGGAATACCACTTCAGGTGATCTCCGATGGCGGCCCCCAATTTTGTAGCACCAAATTCCGGAAAATCAGTGAAAAATGGCGTTTTGAACACCACGTTACCAGCCCATATCATAGTCAATCCAATGGAAAAGCAGAAAGCGCAGTGAAACAGGTTGAGAAGCTTATCAAAAAATGCGGCTCGGATAGTAGCGACCCACTAATGGCCCTGCCCGAGTTACGGAACATACCATCGATTAACATGGGAAACAGTCCAAGCCAACGTTTATTTGGCAGACGCACACGCACAATTCTACTCATTTGTGACGAGTTACTGCAGCCACAGACTATCATCAGTAATCATACAGTCATGGCGCATGGCGCATGGCGCTACAGAAGAGGTATTTCGACTGCTGCAGTAAACCTCTATGCTCTCTCAGATCAGGAGACACGGTTTGGATACAACCATTGGAGCCAACGGAAAAGGTGTGGGTGATGAAAGAAGAAATATCGTGAGCAACAAAAAAATCGTACCTAGTACGCTGTGGTCAACGGATAATACGAAGAAATAGAGTTCATTTGAGGAAAATGGAAGAGAACGAAGACGCAGAAAAAGACAATCCTAATATCTGAAACATTTGGATCCCGTAATAAATTTGAACAGGCAAGTCAGAAGACAAACACTGCGAGAGGAATTCCTTTCGTATACTCTCATCGGTCGCGTACGTATAACATCGAACAGAATAGACAAATGAAGCGAATTAAGAAATCTAGTTAGTATTAACCATGTGTGTGCGTGTGTGTGAATGTGTACCCTCGGCCTTCCCTGGCTGTAACCAATCCCGTGCATCACACACACTGTACACATTCACACACA